AGTAAAAATCTTTAATAAGTGCTAGCAGCGCTACTTGTGTAGACTTAAAAAAGAGAAATAAAGTAGTTTTAAAAAATATAACTATACTTACTACACTTAAAGTATTAACTTTTTTTTTTATAATTTTTACACTTTTTAAAACTAACTAAAGCATAATTTAAATTAATTTTTATTATATTAAGGTCCTTATTTATAACTGCGCTAGTTTAGGGGTGTATTAGGGCTTGTACAGGGAGGAACCTTATGTTATTATTATAGGTAGTAATTAGGTTTGCATACGCATTAAGGTTGTTTAGAAGAGGTTCTTCTACTATAGCGCGTTATAGTTTAGTTAAGAGGGAGTTATATAAGGCTATAATTAGACCTATTTTATTTAGGCCTATATTAAATGCAAGTTAGCAGAACTTAGTAAAGTGTAAAGTAAAGCTTTTTTTTTTTTATTATAAAGTGTTTAGGTAACTTAGAGCTATTAACTTTTTATTTAAGTCTTTATAAGTTACTTATAAAAACACTATAAATTAATCTAGGTTAATAATATTTTTATTTATTAGTAAGTTAATTAAAGCTATTATATTATAGTTAAGTTAAAAGTAAGCATATAGTAACTAAAAGTGTTTAGAAGAGAATTAGTCTATATTTCCTTTAAGTTTATATTAGAGCTTATATAAAAAGAAAGGTAGGTCTTTTTATTTTCTATTAAACAGTAAAGGATTAAAGAGTTAGTTAGATTTTATTACTAAGTTAGAAAGGTTATAGGTTATAGGCAGCATTAAGTAGAAAAGAGTTAAGCTATCTCTAAACTTCTAGGTAAGCTTTAAGGCTAGTAAGTTCTTAGTTTCTACTACTATAATAAAAGTTAAAGTAGAAATAGACTACTTAATAATGTAAAGCTATTTTTTAAAGTCTTTTTAAAAAGCTTTAAAGCTTATAATATAGTAGCTTTTTTATAAAGTAAGTGCTTTTTAAAAAGCTTTTTAGCTTACTTTAATAGCTTAGAGTTATGTAAGTACTAAGCTTATTAAATTAGATTTAAAAGCTATTCTTAGCTAAGGTTTTAACATAATGTAATATTATAATTATGCATAAGTAAGGTTATAAAGCTTTATAGAGGTCTAGTTTAATTACTACATAAAGTATTATAGTAGGTACAAGACATTATGTAAGAAATAGAAAAGTTTAAAAGAAAATTAGTAATTAAATACTTAGCTTAGAAGTCTAAGCGCTTTAGGTATAAATTAAGCCTATTCTAGGTTTAGTTAGTGTTAAAGCAGTTTATGCTTAAGTTTATGTCTGTGTTGTGTTGTGTTTGTGTCAGACGTGCACTAATAATACTCTAGTACGCGTCTGATACGGTTATGTCTGGGATCCGGGGAGGATACCGTGACAAGACTATACTTAAGCTATATGCGCAAGGAATTTCCCCTTAGATAGCATTTATAGCTAATATAGCTAATTCTTTGCGCGCTAAGCGTAATCTAGGCTATGTTTACATAAACTAGCCTAGTATGTTTATAAAGCGTTATTTAGAGCTTAAAGTAACATTTAAGTGTAAGTATAACTATAAAAGAGCTCTCTATAAGAGTCCTAGAGTAATTTAAAGTAAGTTTAGCCTTATAAAGAATATTAAAGCTAAGTATAGCATCTAGAATAATAACATATATAACTTTAGCAAAATAGAGTTTATAATTAGCTAGATATCTCTTAACTATACTTGCGCTTAAAACTTTACTTTAAGCTTTAAATAACACTTTACAAACATACTAGGCTAGTTTATGCAAACATAGCCTAGATTATGCTTAGCGCACAAAGAATTAGCTATATTAGCTATAAATGCTATCTAAGGGGAAATTCCTTACGCATATAGCTTAAGTATAGTCTTAATAATTACCTACTTCTTTTTATTACCTAGCTTTTATAATTTAGCTGTAGAATTAGCTTATAAAGGTTGTCTAGTGCTATAGTTATTTATTATCTTTTATAAGACTTTATATATAGCTATAGCACATTTCTTTAAGAGTTTTATGTCTTATTTAAAAGCTTAAAGCGCAAGCTGTATCTAACATTCTTTTAGCATGTCTAAGTAGTGTTATGGGGAATGCATTAGTGTAGGAAGGGTAGTTTAGTAGGGTCTTGGCAAAAGTAAGCAACTTAGGTGTGTAAGCTGTAACGATTCTCGTTCCATCTCAGGTCGCCCGGAACCTCCGGAAGGCCCCCGTATCGGCCCCGACCCCGACCTGGCCCCGACCCCTGCTGTACCCCTATTCCTTCATGTATTTAGTCGCACCTCGCCCCGTAGCTAGCTCGGTAGTTTTCTGATATCCTTTCGTACTAGGCCTATAGGTGTCAATGGCATTCCCAGGTTCAGAGTCCCCACGCACTCCCATATGCCTCTGAGTGGATTCCCACCGCATTCGGACCCATTGTCTTGCCTGCGCCGTTACATAAGCAACTCGCCCATGAAGTACGTTAAGGATTTTAGGGATAAATTGCAATTAAAAATTAAAGCTTTTAATTTATATAATAGAATTAATAATAGAGAATCTTTTAAAGTAGCAATTATTTACTAGCAGGTAAAGCCTCCCTAGGCAGCCCTAACGTCAGCAACGCGCTAGGGCATAGATAATATACACTTCTGCTAATCTTCTAGCTTTAACCTATTCTACTTGTTCTTTAGAATAGACTTTATTTTTTTTAATATTACTTATTTAGTGTCTTTTTTTTAAAATCTAAATTTTTATAATGCGCTAGAAGTTTTTAATAGAATTTAAATTAAGACTTTATGCTAGCTACACTATATAATCTATGTAAAGCTTTTTTTAGAAACCTGCAGTTATCTTTAACTTATAGTATAAAGCTTTATTCTTTTACTATAACATAATACTATGTTTTTTAAAGACTTTAGCATAAAATAGCTATGTGTAAGTAGCTAAAACTTTATTATAGTATCTTTTTAAGTTTATTTACTTACCTTAAGGCAGTATAACTAGCTCTAACTTAAAATTCTAGAATATAGCTACCTATACTCTAACAAAGCTTCTTCTACTTTTAAAAGTAAGCTTTAGGTATTAAGATTTATACACACATAATGCCTTTTTTTTCTACTTGCAGTATTAAGTAGTAGAGATAAGTCCTACTTTAAAAGTTAATTTATTAAAAAAGTAAATATATTTAAAGTTATTATTATTCTAAGTTTTTATGTAAGCACTTTAGTAATAATAATTAAGCTTATAAAAGGGCTTAAGGTAAAGCTTAGCGCATAGTTTAAATGCATAGTACTTATTTTTTTATAGGTATTACTTTACTATATTAACGCAGATTACAGTTATTATTTTTTTAAAAGTAGTAAGTACTTTATATGTTTTAAAAAGAAACTGCTTTAGGTGTTATACTAATTATTACTTTATGTGCTTATTAAGCTTTAAAAGTTTCTTTATGTAATAGGCCTTTTTTTAAGGCTTATTTTTATATTTTTGTAACTGCTTAAGTATTAACTTAATTAATAAAATTAGAATAAAAAAAGTTTTTTATATTTTTAAAAAGCTAAAACTAATATAAGAGAGCGCTTAGATGCTAGTAAGAGTAGGCTTATTATATTCACAGTAAGCAGTTTTAGGTTAGGAAGGCATGGTGGTAGTGTGGAGAAGGAGGAGAACGAGTGGTGCGGAAAATTTTGAGGTGTGTGGGTTGACCCGATATAGTAAGTTAAGCGAGAGGATGATGACTTCTTGGCACCTATTGTACCCTCACCTACTGAGTGCAGCAACATCCACCTCTTTCATACGAACTTTGCCATATTCTATCTTAATTTAGAAGCAGATTGTATCTTCCCGCTCAAACCTATATCTTCCGCTATCTTCTCGTATCTCCAGTTGAGTCTCCAAAATTCTTGGACACCAACAAGCTGAGCTCAGACGCCGTTTCGCCGAGATGCCGTATTCCCCTGTACACATACATCCTGGATCGTGCCGAAGTGAATTCGCGTCTGCATTACCAGCAGATCTTCTCTTAGAGAAGTTCTAGATGGCATTCATCATTGATAGCTTTGAAATTTTGCAAGTCACTGATGATGCTGCCAAGTTCGATTTACCCGTCTGGTACGAGCGAAATGGTACGCCGGAATCTGATCCGTGTTCATGGCTAATTCTGGTTAGGACGGACAGTGTAAGTGGATATTTTGGTTCAGAGGTTTGGAGGAGAGTCGTCAAAACTGGCGGCTTACACTAAGCGCACATGCTTTGCTACGGATACATTTTTTCATTTATTTTCAAACAAATGACTCCAAGGAAAAGAAATGTATAGGTTTAACATCTTATTATAGAATTCTCCTTCACGTTTAAAGGAGAGTGTAGTAACGCCGTAGAGGTGTGACTTTTGAAGGAGGTAGTATCCTAGGTTATGTGCTCCAAAGAGTAATGATATCATGCCTTCCAATCTCCTCGGAAGTCCCACACAAAATACCTCTATCCATCCGACCTAAATTTATGCTGTCCCTCCTGTATGTCTCCAATACAAATGACGTGGAAAGCTCTCAATAGTCTAGTTGAAATGCCAGCACGACTTCTCCCCTTTCAAAATAGAGACTTATTCTGCTGCCATTATCATCTGCGTCTACATATATTAGATGTTTTACGAAAATTATTCCAAATGCTACTAGAAGAAAGTTCAGCAGTTAGGGTAAGGAGGAAATGTGCTAAGACTAAAATGGTATCGCCGGAAGGCGACGGATCCGTGCCGCATCAACCAAACATCAGTTCTGTCTGATTCTAATACAGCCTACAGTGATTGCGCATGCGACTTAGGACGGGTGTTATATATTACCTTAGCGTATTCGAAATATCCTCTGGGAACCACCCCAACTTCTCTTCCAATTCACGGCTTCTCCCTCACCAACTCTTGTTGCGAACGATGGATCCATTCCTCGCTCGTTGGTTGAAAGGCTTAACGCAGCTGCTCAGCACGCTTCTCGTCGGCACTGCCAGCTATTTCTTCTGGAGGCTTTTCACAGCACGGCTCATCTTTTACAGGCTGAAGCAGATAGGAGTAGTATAAAGAACCCCACACTTCACTTTGAATAATCGAGCCTGATCACTGATTCGTCTTCCCTAGCCAATGCCGGAATGGAACCCTATTCTTGGCCACCTGCCAATGCTACCTCGTCTACTAAACCAGCTCCCCAAAGGGGCACAGCAATCATATTGCTTCGGTCTCTTGACCCGCGACTTCCCGAACAGTGACGGGCTCTTCTATATCGATCTATGGCCTTTCTCACTACCAATAATTATCGTATCTACGCCAGAACTCGCCCACCAAGTTGGCCAAGAATATGATTTGCCAAAGCCTGACTCGCTTAAACCCTTTTTTAAGCCAATCACTGGAGGCTTGGGACTTTTTATGATGAATGGCGAAGATCATAAGTCTTCACGAGCACTTTTCACCCCAGGGTTTAGTGCGAATGTGATCTTGGAGCACACAGGAAACATTGTCGACCAAGCGCAAGTGTATGTGGAGATCTTGCGCGAGTATGCAAATAAAGGAGAAATCTTTTCGCTTGATGCAATTACTTGCTGGTATATGATGGACGTCATTGGAGCCGTTAGCCTGTAAGCGCTAAAGCTCTTTCAATGCATCTAAAGCGTGTATGGCTGATTAAACTTCACAGAGATGCACAACTTAACTCGCAAAGACAACACAACGACCTAGCCTCCGCTATGAGAAATCAGATTCAGCGACACATTCGAGAAGAGGAGATGAATCCATTCAAACGCTACAACCCAATGCGGCCTATTATGGAGTGGTATAATGGATACATGATGGATCGTTACATCTGCGCCGAACTAGACAAGCGGTACCAAGAATGGAGATCAGCAAAGCTAAGCAAGCCCAAGACGAAATCCGTCATAGATCTCGTTATCGCCGAATATATGCGTGAGCGCTGTGCAGGAGACACCTTGGATGTACGGTTTAAATCCTGGGCATGTGCACAGATTAGATTGTTCCTGTTTGTTGGACACGATTCTACCGCCGCGACGATTGTCTATAGCTTTTATCTTCTCTCCAGGCACCCAGCAGCTTTAGAGCGTGTGAGGAAGGAGCATAACGAAGTGTTCAGCGCCGATCTATTAATCACACCTCAGCTCCTAAAGGAGCAACCTCAACTAATCAACCAACTTCCATACACCACCGCAGTCATTAAGGAATGCTTGCGTCTCTTTCCGCCAGCCGCGGCTTTCAGGGGTGGTCTCGCAAACGTTTCTCTACGCGGCAGCAACGGCCAGAAATATCCGACAGATGGAATGGGCGTTTGGGTCCTTCACGACGCCATTCACCGCCACCCAAACTACTGGCCAAGACCGTCTGAATTCCTTCCTGAGCGCTGGATGGTAGGCCCCGACCACCCGCTGTATCCTCCGAAGTGGGCGTGGCGGCCTTTTGAGTACGGCACTCGCAACTGCATTGGTCAGACTTTAGTCATGCTGGATGTGAAGGTCACGTTAGCAATGACAATACGGGAGTTTGATATTCAGAATGCATATAAGGAGTGGGATCAGTTTAATTCGTCAAAAGGGATCAAGACTGTGGATGGAGAGCGAGCGTATCAGATCTCGGCAGGATCGTCTCACCCAGCTGATGGGTTTCCTTGCCGCGTTTCTATCAGACAAGGAAAATGAGGTGGAATCTCCCTTGGCCGAACACAAACACACCCGACATCTAATAAAAAAGTTTGCATGTGAGAGGGTGGATATCCCCTCCCCATGAAAGGACCACCCTTGGTAACTTTTTCTACTAAAGGATCGGCGAAGGTGGATAGCGAGTTCTCAGGTGAATTGCTCGAGATTGCACCATTGGGCGGGTAGCACTTCAATACTGACTATCTACTTTTATTACATTGCATTAATGAGTCTAAGCAATATTTTCGTCGCTTGTCATTTGAATATGTTATTAGGGCTCAATTATATCACCCCGGACAATTGATCAGAGATGACCGAGTTTATCAGCACTATTAAGCACAAATATCGTATGATTTTCTTCCATAGTACGCTAGTAATTTAATAATACGTCTTTTGCTTCTCCTGAATCTTCTCTTCGAGATAAGCTATCCCTCTCTCGTCTACTTCCAAGTAGCCTACCTCCCGCAATTTGTTAATGGCCTGCATAACCCAGTTTTGGCAGTTCCACCCGGTTTCTTCGCTCATCGGTAGTCCTTCGAGAATACCCGGGATCTCGCCCCAGACATCCGCTTCGATACGCCCAATGCGATGAGTTTGCTTAACGCTTGCGTATTTGTCCATCACGACAGGTATGCTGTTGTAGTGAAAGCTTGAACCAGTGACCCCAAGCGCTTCGAAAATGAGCTCGTCACCACCATCACTGAGGGTCCAGAGACACCAATGTGGTACGTCTTCGTCGTGTCCGTCAAGGCAGATGACCACGGATATTTCGGCCATGGTGCTTAGCTTTGAGCGGAGCCTAAGGTAGCTTTCGATAGGGAAGACGGGGAGAAAGAGTAGTATTTGAGGTGAAATGACGAGTTTATAGAAGCGAAGAAATGAATCCGCGCTGGCTTGTTTATTCTTGCGATGAGGTCATGTGGGTTGCGCTGCGAATGCGTGTTGGTGGCACAGAAGCCGCTTTACTCTTTTGAGCCAATCCAATTTTCCGTTCCGAGTCTTCGATGAAGAACGTTGTCACTATCGCCACTGTAAGGGGTATGTACTAGGAGAGGAGCTAGGGGGAAATTGAGACAGTCCATCATCATATTGGAAAGGTTCCATCCGCATGTCTTTCTTCCTTAAGGACTCTCTATCTCTTATTTCACAAGTTCGGAGCCCTTGATAATCAGGAAGAGGAGGTGATTCTAATAGCCATTCATTAGGGCGAACAATTCTATTAAATGGCCGGCTTTCTTATCATTCTAACTAAAATTGTAGCCTTGTAAGTCTTTGCGGGCTTAGTTGTAACTTTTTCCATCAGTCAAATACTGACATTTCTCGCCACCCCGTGTTCCTAGACTAGCACCAGTAGCTCCGCCTACAATATTCTTCTTGGCCATGACGATCTCCCTATTTCATAAGATACCCTACACAAAGCGAACCCCGGGGTATATGTAAATTGTGAATTTAAATCGGAAGACGTCTAAATCCTCAACTCTCCTTAGACAGCCCCAGAATCTGCATCAAAATGGAACGGCTGGAGACACCTTTGCGCGCTGTTTGTAGTTAGCTTTGCAATATTTGATGGGCTGAGGGTTGGAAATGACATACGCGGAGACAAGCAGCGGCAATGATACCCAGAGCTGCAGCGGCAGTATGTCCAACCGTTAGTTACGGAGCCTTTTGGAGGCTGTATAGTACAGTTACGGAAGAGGAGGCTGTTACTAACTAACTGTACGGAGGATATAACGTTAGTGTACAGTTAGGATACAGTAACTAAAGTATATTAAAGTATTATAAAGTAATTGCGCTAAAGCTAAAAACTATACCTAATTAAAAAGTTATAATACTCTTTATAAGATCTACTATTGTTAATCTTACTGTTTTAATGTACTTTATAAGCTTAGTTAGCTTACTAGTAATAGTGTTATTACATAACTAATTCTTCTGCAGTTAAAAAGCCTTTATTATTAACACTAATAGTTAATTCTTTTTTATTATAATAGTCTTTTTAGCCTATAAAAAGCACTGCTTACACTTACATAAAGTTGCTAGAATTAATAAAAAATTAAAAGTAATTTTATAAAAAATAAAGTAGTAAAGTTAACTTTACTACTACTACTACTTAAGTAGCTAAGTAAGTAGCTAATTTCTAGCATACTTATCTTTTACTAAGAAATTAAGGTAAAAGTTTAACTTATTAACTTTCTACCTTTTTTTTAAGCTACAACCTTTATTATTATAGAGAATAGTAAAGTTAACTAAAAAAGCCTTTTTAAAGTGCTTATTATGTAGGTTGCTATAAGCTACTAAAAGCTTTCTTTATAATATCTTTAGTAATGCTACTTTTTTTTTCTTTTTTTTTTTTAAAAAAGTTTCTAAGTAGTGTGTATAAATCTTCTAAATAAACAACTTTATATGCTTATACTAAAATAAGTAGTCTTTTTAGTAGTCTTTAAACTAAAAAAGGCAGAGAGACAGGTTAAGAATAGTTGCTACATAGTAGTAGAAGATCTTTAGCTCTAAAATAAGAGTTTTCTAGTACATAGTAAGCTTTTTAATGCTAAAGGCAACGCTGTTTTTAAAGTAGTTACTATAGTGCTTATAAGATAAGCGCTTTCTCTATGCTCTAAGCTTATTATTAATTACTTATAAGTATATAATTATTTACTATAAGCTGCTATAGCCTAATTTGCTAGTGCTGCCTTTAAGGCGTTTAGTTATCTTATAAAAAATTTTTAAAAAGTTTTTTATACACTTTACTTTTACTTATTTATTATTAGTAAAGCTGTTAAGTAAAAGATTATAACTATTATTTTTAATATTATTATTAACTTTATTAGTAAGGCCTATGTTATAGCGCTTAGATTAAATAAAGCGCTAAATAAGCTTTTTAAGTTTAAAATAACATAAAATTATAAAATAAATAAAATGCTACTATATACTACTATCTTATAGTAGATTTAGTGTACTAAAGCTCTAGAGAACATTCTTCTTACTTAGTGTAGTTATAATAGCTATAAAGCTATTACAACGCTTATTTAAGTAAAAGACTAAGTTATAAAAGTTATAAAGCTTTTTAATAACTTTATACTATTAATAAAGCTTAAATTAATTTTAAAAAGCTATATTAGCTAGCTTTTATTTCTATAAGCTTATATTATTACTATAGATAACTGCCTTAACAATAATTTAAATAGTATAGCTAGTGTAGTGTATTTAGTTGTTACTGCTAAAGTTAAAGTTTATATGCAAGTTAAGATAATTAATAAGCTAGATGTTATTATTTAACATGTTATTTACTATAAAGTAGTAGAATTTTAACTTAATATTATACTTCTAAAGAACTTTAATAATAGTATGTGCTTAATTTACACTAGTCTTGTTACTGTATAGGTTTTTAAAGCTAATAAGTAGGTCTTATAGCTAGGTGTTAGCATCTATGTACACATTTATAAGCTATATAAGCTAAGTTTAATAAAGCTTACTTACTAATAAAATGCGCAATAACTTTTAGTATTAAAAAGTAGTTAAGACTACTTTACTTATTTAAGCTTAACATAATTTTACTATAAGCTTTATATAACATAGTCTAAATCTTCTCTTTTTACTTTATAAAACTATTATAAAGATATTATAATAGCATAGTTAAAAAAGTAAAGAAAGTGTTAAAAAAATTAAGTTAATTTTAAGTAATAAAACTTTAATATCTAGCTAAAGTTAATTACTATAGCAACTAATTAGATACAACTACTTAGTTAACAAACACCTACGCTAGAGCACCCTTCTGCTACAGCGTATAAGCTACCTGCTACCTTACTCCTGCTACCTCTGCTGCTACTATAAAGAGATTTAAAGGCCTCTAAGGGCTATTTAGCAGTACACTAATGTTAGCATTAATCTTATAAACTACTTTAAAATGCCTTACTATATAGATATTGCTATTAATAAGTTTAGCTACCTTTTAAACACTAGCTTTATAGTAAGCTTAATAAAGCTATAGCTGCTTCTTTTTACTTACTTTAGTAACATGCTGCAGATCTGCACTATATCTTTATATAAATAACACTTTTTAGCGCCTAAAAAGTTATAACTTATGCTTTATATAATATTCTAGCTAATCTACGCTTAATTTAATGCTAGAACACTATATATTATTCTAGTTAATCTTAAAGGTAATTTTAATATTATAGTAGGCATTATTTAGGTGCTTCTTAGCCTAGGTATCTTACATATGCTTTAAAGGAGTTACTTTACACAAGGACAGCGTAAATAAGCTAGGTAAGGCTATGCAGGCCTTCTCTAAGTGTTAAGATAAGGCAGCATAATATATCTAGGTGGCAGAACAGCTAGATAAGGCATGTAAGAATAAGGCTTATAAGAATAAGGCCTACAAAGATAGGGCCTGTAAGGTAGTAACACGCTAAGATAACTACGTTGTTAATTAAAATAAAAATTAAAATATTATAATAGGCAAAAGAATAATGTAAATAGCATAGTTACTAAATTTATTAAAAGATTACTAATAAAACAGGTAATAATAGCATTCTCTGCATTAATCTCTAAACACAAGCCTCTTAGCCCTTAGCAACCTGCCTTTAACTGCCTAAAACTACTAAAAATTTTATATAACTACTGTAAACAGTTAGTACAGCAGCCTTACGTATAGTACAGTATACTAAGTAGATGCCCTGTACGTACGTACGTGACCAAAATTAGTGTACTGCAGTACTGTACTATTAGGTGTACTAACGGTTGGACACACTGTGCAGCGGTATAGACAAGGATATAGCTGAACCAGGATATGTTAACTTCTTTCTTGACGTGGTAAGATAAAAATAGGCCTTCTACGACTATAGGACAACTTACACCTTAGATAGGCACTTGACGATAATTGCGAGAGTATCATGACGTTGCTGATCCGTTAAGGTTGTGAGAAAGTTCCCACTAAGACCCTGCAGAGCGCGCAGAATCTGCTCACGGGAGTGGCCAGCTAAAAGTTTTTGAAGGCCGCTCAACGCCTTGTTGACAAATACGGCACCAGATATTGAGAGTGCAAGAGATACACCAAGAAGCTGGGCTAATAATTAATGTCAGCAGCACCCATCGGAGATTTAAGTGCATATTTCGTACCGATCATGATAAACGCAACTCCGTGGGCCATAACTTCCGGCTTCGTGATGGATTGGATGACGGCAAACCCAGCCTGCATACCCATTCCTGCGCCGAACCCTAGAAGGACCTCATACCCGTATATCTCCGCTGTCGAAGTTTTCGAGTCGACACGCGCTGTGATATTTAGTATGTAACCTTTGGGGCCATGTGAGCGAACTTCTTGACTTACAAAACAGAACACCAGCTGGGAGGATTATGATACTACCTGCCAAAAACCAAGGCATATAGTATCCACCCTTGGACAGCGCTCCACCGTTGACTATAACAAGAAAGGTGATAAAGACGATCAGGGGGAGGAGACGAATAGCTGAATCGAGCGGGCCATCCCCACGTGTAAATTGAAAGTATGAGGGTATCCAGTATATCGGGATAAATCCAGATGCGTTGAACGTCGCTGTGAGGAAGAAAAGAAGGAGTGCTTCCTTATCCCCGAGGAATGCCACTGGGAACAGGCGATCGGATTCAGTAGTCAGAAAGGCGAAGTATTGCTGGATAGCGAAGGCGAGAAACAGAACACCAGATAGGATGAAGAGGGAGATGATCTGACCAGATCCCCAGCCATATAATGTTCCTCCGAAGTTAATACCCATGATCAGACATACCAGTGCACCAATGCTTAGTACCGATCCCAGTAAGTCGATATCGGCGAGTCGCGACGCTACACTCCGATCCTTCTGCGGCTGGAAGCTCGGGATCATGAAGAAGTATACCGGCGACAACACTCCCATAATGCAGAGATTAAGATAGAAACTCCAACGCCAAGTGGCGCTGGAGTCGGCAAATGCACCGCCAATGAGAGGTCCAACGACGTTACCGATACCAAAAACAAGCCCGACAAGGCCGAGATACATAGGCCGTTCAGTAGGATTAGTATTGACAGACAGCAGCGTCATGACTCCCAGATACATACCGATACCGCCAAAACCGGCTAGGACGCGACCGAAAATGAATACGTCGATATTGGGTGCACCACCGCAAAGTGCTGAGCCTGCGAGGAAGAGTGTGACCATGGTTATGTAAAGGATTTTCGCGTCGAAAAGAGCGTACAGTCTTCCAAATGGAAGTACTACGGATAAACCACCCATCATGAAAGCCACCGAGAGCCAGGGGATCTTATCTGCTTGCCCGAAGCGTTCGGTAATTGGGGGAATGAGGTTTGCGGTGATGGTGTTGTCGAGAGCAAACAGGAATACTGTTGAGAGAATAGCCAACACCATTAATATCCACTAATTGATATCCTTTGTTAGCTATTTTGAAATTAGCATTGGAATAAACCTACGAATAGCCATCTACGGGGAGAAGAGCTGGGGAGTGCTGTTGCCTCTACTCCCGGCTCTGCGGCGGGCTCTGCGGTAGGCTCTGTAGTAGGCTCTACAGACGGTTCTTCTCCGCTGACTTCGTCTCGAGGCATGGTTTAGGGGGTTTGCAGATTATTATTTAACGCGAATGCAAGCAGGCTATAGAGATAAAGAAACAGCCCAAAGCTCCAGTTCATGCGAAAAGGAGGTTATTGATAAGGTTCGAAGCCTGAGAAGCATTGCACAGGTAGTTAATATTGGGTAGCTGCGGCAATGACTACAACTCTTCGCATTTGTCAGCTTAAAATGAAGTTTGATCTGTAGCGTATTGGTATGTTGTTGCTAACCGTCTCGGTATTTCGTTGTCTCGTTTCCTCGGGTACTCGTTAACTCGGGGAATTGCTTTCTTTGGTGAAACTCTTGGTGTGCGTATCTTATGTCACGCCATCTGGTGCTTTACCCTGCACTGTAATTGAATCTGATCGTAAACTTGAACCTTAAACCTCAGGCCGTAGTGAGCATTAATCTCCGTTTTGAGCTTTAGCTATGAAGGGTGAGGCCCATACTTCAACGGTGAAGAGGGGGGGTTAATGTTTCGTCCGTGCAACTGACAAATAGCCGCAATTGATGAGAAGCATGTAATCGTAGCTGAGATCTTCGTATTGGATGTGGGCTTGGCTGGTGATTGGAGGAAGAATGTTAAGTTTGGTATCAGAATTTATAGCAGTGCATCTAGTGTAGTAGACCTTTTTTGCCTATTTTTCTAGTTAAGACCCTCCAAAATTAAGGAGATATTCTTTTTTTAATAAGATCGATATCATATAAGATCCCGGTCCCTGTCCCTTGCTCTCCACGTCTCTCAGGCCGTGCAGAATAGCCCATTCCTGTCAGTGCTACATAATTAACGTGTAGCCTCTCTTTGGTCCATAGTTCGTTGGATTAGGACATATCTTAGATCCGGTATGATGATCAATACAAACGGAGAGAGTCAGAATGACAAGATTGTGGCACAATTGCCCAGGCGCCCAGTGGCAGCAACGGGTGAAGATGTTACAAGGGCCTCAGTCGTAAGGGATCGGGTCAGTTGAAAAGTGCCCTTGACTGTACCGCCTTCAACTCTCAGTTTGGCAGCCCTTCTCTCGGTCTTTTGCTTCCATGAGCATACCCCTCAACTAATCTCGCCTCTCTCTTCATCGCAAACCGAGATGGTCTCGGCCTTAGTATCTCTGATGCTAGGATTTCGCTATTGCTTGTAGATTATCTGTTCGTATGCTTCTCCCCTTGCATTCATTCATATACTAGCTCGGTGTTGGACCATAGCTGTACAAGTGTGGATGATTTCCTCTAAGCCCTTGCCATCGTACATTTCACCTGTGGTATCAATCAAAATTGGATCTGAAACCAGTTTCACAGAGTGCGGTCCAGAGTGAAGACGGAAACACCGCATCTTAGCGCAATATGACAGGGGCGATTTACAGAAGAACTTGAATCCGATTAACATTCTCCTTAGTTCTATCGATATGGTTACTAGGCTGGCCCACACTGCTTACGTCCCATTATGTGTGATAGCATGCTGTAGTATGCATCGTCTCCAGATTCTCCGGTATCTTATTCATCAGGCGGGGAGCAAAGAACAGATCTTCGACATGCCGGGCGTGGGTTTGGCCGCCAAAATCTGGTCATCAGTGACTGTGGCACCTTGAAAACCTTGAGAGCATAGTGGAGGAGCTTGAATATGCCTAGCTGATGCTCATTCCCGTGGCTGAAACTGTTACGCAGCGCGGCCGTTCGTCAGTACACCCGGCCGTATAGTACTGCAGTAAATCAAATTTAGCACTGAAATCAAATTTAGCACTGGTTAGTAGGTAGAGAGGTTGTTAATACAGTAATGGTATGTGGGGCCCTGTTACTAGCCGTTTACGGTAGTCTGTATAGATTTTGGGTGGGGTAGAAGAGCCTGCGCGGCCACAGAAGGCGCGGAGGGCTCAGAGGGGTGCAGGGAGTGCAGAGGGTGCAGAGGGACCTTGGGGTAGCCAAAAACAATGCAGATTATGTAAACCTAGCGTGTTTTGTTAGCAGTGTGCTAAGAAATCCCACAACACTATAATCTAGCCCCTTTATGCACCTTATATTCCTAGTACATTCTCTGCTAACCTTAAGCTTCTTAGCGCATTTTATCGCAAGGTGAGTCGAGATGGAGCTGATGGAGCTGATGGAGAGCACGTATAGAGCGGTAAGTAGATAATTAGGTATTGAGAGACGACCTAGGTATATTGAAGTGAGGCGTAAGGGCTCTAGAGCTCGGGAGAGCTCAGAGGTAAATATATAGTAGCTAAAGAGCGCTAGCCCTGAACAGGAAAAGGGTGAGAGGTGAAGGACCACATTCACCCTAACACGGAGTCACGTGAAATAATGTCACGTGCGATACATTTCTGCCTCCTGGGCCTTAGGCAAATTAACTGCTTCTAATACGGCTCCTTTTCACTACCCTGTCGCATTTTACACACAATAGTCAGGCTACGAAAGAACTAGCTATGTAATAAGGTAGTAGCAAATTATCTAAGCCAGCAGTATACACTAAATAGTAAGAAATGCAGCTTCAAACAAACATTAATTTAATTCTACTCCTACTAATGCTTCTTAGTTAGGTTAGATACTCTATGAACAACCTTTTATATTCGGTACAGTACAGTACAATCTATTAATTCACCCGTTACGGAGTACTGCTAGATACCCTCCCTCATCTACTCAGTACGGTTAGTACTCGCAAGCAGGTTGAACAGTATAGTCCACCGTACAGCCTCAAAACTACTCCGTTGCGTACGGATGGCCACCCTGCTGAAACGTATCTCCAAATTCATCTAGAGAGTCGAGCAGGTGGTCTAGATCGTTCTCTACTTCGACCAACTCCGCGGCAAACAAAGGATTCCATGGAGGTGACGCAGGGTTTCCAAAGCAGATAGGCAAGTTGGACAGATCGTGATTTAAAGTCTCTTTGAAAATGGAAGCATTTAAGGGCGGCATCAGTTCATTGGCTGCGTCCGCATCATTGCTATGGCCGCTCACTTGGCTTGGGTCTGCACCGGAACTCACAAATCCAGAATCTGAAGACCCGGTTGAAGCTTGGTGGGTGAGCGAGGTCCGGAGCTGACCCGGCCTGGTAGTCACATGTCGTTCCAGCAAGAGAGCCACAGCGTCTTGAAAGATGCTTTCGAGGAAACTCTGTATTTCTTGTTCATTGGGACGCAAGCTCTCCGGCAGTTCATTCCGTGTAAGGTCAGACACAATGTTTGGTCCTTCGATGGCAGCGAATTCTCGGAGCGCAAGAAGGTCGTCTGAGAGTGGAGCATCTACATCTGTGATTTACGTCAATGAGTAGTCTTAAGCAGTAGGGGAGCGGAGGCTCATACAGGGACTTCTGGGCCTTGGCTTTCCTGGAAATAGAATCTCATAAATAATATACCAATTTTCCTCTTTCGTCTTTCCCGGCGAGACTCGTTGTTCTAGCTGTCGTTTCTGTGACTGATCGATCCCATCCCAATTTCGGGGAGGTAGGATCTCACAGGACCTTGCTCGGATATGCTGGTCCCGCTCTAATTCCGACTCGAATTTAAGAGAACAGGACGGGCAATGTGTAGGAATTCGATGCTTCCTCGCTAGGTGTTGTCTGTGGAATGTGTTAGCTGCATGTTTGCATCATAAAAATGGTCTTGGGTAATTACTTGAGCCTTGAGATATCTCGAAGGATGTATTTGTAGCAGCCGCGGTAGCGCCTTGCATCATTCTTGCAGAATGGGCACGCTAAGAGCTTCTCGTCTATCTCCCCGGAGAAGCGGCTAACCTTGCGACGGAAGGGCCTATGCTCATCGCCACCATCCGACGAATTACCCTCCTTTCTTTTCTTGCCTTTAGAACTCTTTTGAAAAGAACCTGAAGAGGTATTTTCGGTATCGCAAGATGTATAATTCTGCAATGATCCAGAAGTTTCTTGCTCGAATCCTGAAGGACAAAACCAGAACTTGTCAAACAACAGCAAGGAAGCAACTGGCCGGAGCTGGTTCAAGGCCATGTCGTCCGTTATAAGAGCCGAGCCTGAGTCACTTCCGTCTAACCAAAAGAAAGACTCGTCAAAGTCAGATCGTGATTGAGAAGATGATGAGGGCAGAGGCGACCTCTCTGATTGCAGCGGAGGCGCATCGTTGGTACCTTCGGGGTCCTCCACACTATTGCTCTCAGGGTCCTCATAAATTGTGATCGTACCCGAAGAGCACCGACTGAGCCTCCGAAGCATTCCAAATCTATCTGGATCCGAGTCTAAACAAGCTATTTGTCTAATGGATGAATCTTTTAAGGAAACTGTTGGTTCTTCTTTTAATGGTTCCCATCCTGGTTCCGCCAGTATTGCTGAAGATGAAATAGGTGGCTGAACACCATCTTGATGGGTGTCTTTGCCGGCGAACGACGTCGGAAAACGGGAATAGAAGCTTCGAGTAATCATGGTTTCGTGCGTGATCATGGTTTCGTGCGTTTAAGAGGTCATAGAGAACGAAATGAGTAGTGGGAGGCTAGTGATTTAAATAACTTCTAGCCCTCCAAAGTGGTCCCTGTCAACCCACCCGTAGTTCAGCACAGTTGTGCGCTCAGCCTTGTCGAAGGCTTTTTAGGGCCCAAAACCAATCAGAGAAGACTTACAAATCCCACCGCCATCCTTCTTGGCATGTTCTTTTGACCAACAACGTACGCAGAATATTAATGAACGAAGATGGAGACAATATTAGATTCAGATGGTTACAACAAATACCTAGGTATGTCCCACCCCAAGCACCAGCGCCAGTGGACAAAATCCGAGCAGGCGCCCAAAGCACCTGGTCAAAGGTAAAAGCAGCAAGAGGTGGGCTTCAATATTCCTCTTATGATAAACGAGTCTCTCATGGAAGGGGAGACGACGTATACTGAAGAGGGTTTGAACGCGGGTCTATGAATGCAATGGAATGGTGAGGAAGTACTTGTAGTGAGATACTCTTGTGAGTGTTTTTTGTATAGCGAGGCACAACAGACGAGCATGAATTAGGTGAGAGCTTTCTACGGACTAGGGGGTTTGATTGAGATATTTGTTTGTGGATGAGAGATAGAAAAGAGCGAGTGAGGTGAAGTTGCAAGCGACGTCGGGAGAATTTGGGTTGGTCTAGTTTGGGGTCAAGTACTGCAGGACTGCACATTCCAAGCTTTCCACCTAAAGTAGAACATGGCAGAGTAATTTGGGACAGAAATTTGCATCGTGCTAATGCTCTCCTTAATTCCACCCAAGGGTTTTCACAGATAGACTCCACACCCGCCATGTTCCACGTTAGGTGAGAAGAAGGTGCAGGATGTTTTGTTTGACCATACTTCGAAGAAACGCAATTCTGGTTCCTCTTAAAATTATTTTTGCGCGCAAAAGATCTCCAGATCTCTTGGGCGAATGGCGCCATTCCACGGTGGAATTAGGAAGGGTATTTCGGAAAACGCCCCAACACCACCTCCTAACCGTTCCCATACCAAAGCAAACCCGGTATCCCAAACACCTATAATGGCCTCGGGGGTCCTTTCTACGATGCCGGACTATGAATAAAGAATGTTATATTTGGAGGATTCGACCGCTTCCTACGACACAGCACCCGCCTCTGTGAGTCTCTGCACCAACCCTTCAATTCGGCCAACTGCCTTTAATTCTATCTGTAAGACTCTGCTTCCATTCCTGCTCCTTATGACACTTTTCTCCACCTCGCCATCTTTTGCAACTTTCATGACACCGGTCTGCCCATTTGACCATGTAATCCGAATCTCGCGCACGGCGTGGTCCGCCTCAATGTGCTCGATCTGAACAGGCCCATCTTTACTAGCAGTGTGGCCCTCCTCATCGGATTCTTCCTCGCTGTCACCCCCAAATGCGTTCAGAATTTGTCCTATCGAAGGCCTCTCCGGCCCCACCTCGTCTTCCGACGCCTTGCCAGAAAGACCAGCCTCGCAGCGCAACTTCTGTACCGTGGCAATACGGAGATGCCACGACACCAATTCCTTCCTCAACCACCTGCCAAACCGTATTAGATTCTGCTCCGTTGTCGTATCCGCGTCTCTATCCGTCACAGGCAGGAACTTATTTGCGAGCGCCTGCAGCGGAATACAAGGTGGGATTGTATGTTTATGTATCTTCAACATAGTCGGATGAATTGGGTCCGGTCGGTTGAACAGCACGTGATAAGTCTCGATAAATTGGCCATCTACTGGGACCTCGATCCTGACACCGAGGATGTTGCCGTCATCGACAGCGTTTGGATCAGGGTCTTTGACCTTGTAGGCTGTGACGCCTGCGCAGGCTCGGTATATATTCTCGACATTGCGGTTGGACTGCTGTTTCACGGCTTTTGCAGCACTACGGCGGCAACGTTCGTTGGTGACGGGGCGCTGCTGGAGGCGCGTTGTGAGAAGCGGGGAAGAGAGGAGGATGGAGGTTAGGTTGGAACGGTGTGATCGGAGGCGGGAGATGCGATTGCGGAGGCCGGCGATGTCTTTGTCAAGCTCTTCGATAGTGGCCATCCCGTGGGAGGGTGGAGGTTGAGGTTGGCGAGCTCTGTAGGAATTGCTTTGTTGATGGTGGAGGTCACAGTCTCAAACTGGAAAAGCCTCCAGCGCGGGGTCACGTGAAAGCAAGCATAGGCTGGCCAATCGTGAAAGCGGAGACGGATCAACGTCTCAATAAGCATGCTGACAATGGGGGAGCTGGCTGGGGAAATGTACGAACACGACTATTTAATATCTTCACAGCTCCTAAACATGCGCGAATGCCCTTTCTACGCACTTCACTGCCTGAAACACTAAGGTCAAGCTAGTCGTCGTCGATCCTGCAACTCGCCGCCCACCAGCTTAGGACACGTTCCAGGAACGGGGCGCCAGTATCATTTTGCCCGCACTAAGTGAAGTAGACACCTTTCTCCCACCCAGCCTCATTCATTTTCACCACATGGATGCCTACCTCAGCAGGCGAATCGCTCCCTTCAGTTCCCTCCTACGCTGCGCCCCCGTTTCCCTCTGCTATTGAGACCCGCATCCCCTCCACCCACCGCGCCCAATACGAGCAGAACCAGCACGCCCAGCATCGCCGCTCCATAAGCCAGGGCGACCTCGAGCTTCAAGAAATCGCTCCTGCAGACCCTGAGCATCCTCGCCCAAAGCCCGGGAAGCGACGACCAGCGCCTCTACACATCCTCGCCCCGTCAGCATCGTCGTCACAGACCCCTGAGAACGCCCACCTCCTGCGCAACTCCGACTCCGCCTCCTCCTCCTCCGACCTCGACGCCGACTCCGACATCGAAATCCAGATGGGCAGGCGATCCGCGAGCAAATCGAAGCGCAATTCGGTGATCCGGCAGAGCTCCACAGACTCCCTCCGGAGCCAGAACGGGCACGCCAACGCAACCGGAGCAATGAACGGCCTCGTCGAACACAGGCGCAAGCATGCCCCTACCGACAGGCAGTCCACGGAACATCACACGGCGTCGCTGATAAGTAGATCTAGCTTTACCTTGGATGATCCCGTGCCGGCCATGCACCAGGAAGGAGATGGCTTGTCCAAGGGGTTCTTCGAGATGTCGAAGAAGGATCAAAGAAATTTCATGCTGTTAGTGCTACTGTACTTCCTCCAAGGTATTCCAATGGGTCTAGCGACAGGATCGGTGCCTTTTTTACTAAAAGGCATTGTCTCGTACTCCTCTATTGGAGTTTTCTCGCTTGCAGCATATCCGTACTCCCTAAAGTTACTCTGGAGTCCCATCGTGGACGCGGTCTGGACTCCGAGGCTCGGGCGCAGAAAGAGCTGGATTTTGCCAATCCAGACCGTGTCAGGGCTTTCAATGATATGGCTAGGGTCGCAGGTGAACAAGATGCTGGAGTCTGCGGGTGAGAAAGAGGGGAGTGGAATCTGGAGCTTCACGTGGTGGTGGTTTGCCCTTGTGTTTTTGTGTGCGACGCAGGACATTGCAGTTGATGGTGAGATATCTGATCTCCTGATTTCTTTTTCGACGGGCCTGCTGATTGGATGATTAGGTTGGGCTTTGACGCTCCTCTCGCAGGAGAACCTTGCATATGCTTCCACGGCGCAGACGGTGGGTTTGACGGCTGGGCAGTTCTTGTCTTACACTGTTTTCCTGGCCTTCAGTTCGACTGACTTCGCGAACAAATGGTTTCGACCTGCCAACGCACCTGGAGATACGGGACTCATGACACTGGACGGCTATCTTAAGTTCTGGGGCTGGGCATATCTGCTTGTCACGTTCGGTCTTGCTGTCATGAAGCGCGAGGAGCGCACGAAGAATACCGATGGCATCTGGGAGGTGTATAAGATCATGGGTGGCATTCTCAAGCTCAAGAACATCCAGACTTTCATCATCATCCACCTTATCGCCAAGATTGGATTCCAGGCCAACGACGGTGTTACCAGCTTGAAGCTGATTGACAAGGGGTTCAGCCAGGAAGACCTCGCGTTGACGATTCTCATCGACTTCCCGTTTGAGGTTGGCCTGGGGTACTATATCGGAAAATGGTGCCAGACATCCCCGCCAATGCACATCTGGTGCTGGGCCTTTGTGGGCAGATTAGTAGCCGCTGGTTTCGCGCAGTTCGTCGTCTCCATCTTTCCGCCAGGGGGTACTACGACCTGGTACCTTCTCCTAGTAATCTGCGAACACGTCCTGTCTACTTTTATGAACACGGTCATGTTTGTCGCCGTCTCGGCCTTCCACGCGAAGATTGCTGACCCCGTCATTGGAGGGACTTACATGACTCTTCTGGCTACGTAAGTTCGCCACCTGCGCTATTTGTCAAGCTTGCTAATCCAGAAAGCGTCTCCAACCTGGGGGGGACCTTCCCCCGCTTCTTCGTGCTGAAATTCGTGGACATGTTCACAGTCGCGACATGCGAGCCACCGACCACGGCCCCCAAACCGGGAACCCTAAAAGGCGAGCTTGTCACACAAGCCTTCTCGTGTGCGCTTGAAGTCGAGAAGCACCGATGTCGGGACGGCGGCGGCAACTGCAACATCACGACGGATGGATACTATGTGATGAACGTAATTTGTATCATAATTGGGGTTGTGACATTCTGGGGCTTCATCAAGCCTTCTGTAATGCGGATCCAAGCGCTGCCGTTACGAGCCTGGAGAATCGCAGCGTAGACCAGTGTGGAGCTTGCGCGTTCTGTAGCAACAGAGACTTGGTATCTCTCTCTAGATTTACATATTTGGAATGAAACTCATTAGAACTTTGGAGGCCCACCAGCATGCCCCTGCATGACTCAGAACCCACGACCGGCAGCAGCCGGTGTGCGCGAATTCTCGTGATCCGGCGTTCGGAGGGGCGTGTCAAGGCCAGCCAATAGCGGGCGTCGAAAATGCCGTTCATGTGGCCCTGCAGCTGCAGCCAGCGCTAACCCAAGAGCCTCCTTAAAGAAAGACACTGGAAGGATGGTGTAAGCCGGCCAGCCTCGAATTGGGCGCCAACCGAATGCTCCGACAGCGGCAATTGCTAACGGTTTTTAAGCATGGGCAAGTGAATTTACGCGGGTTTGTCAGGAGTAAGTTATGCAGAGGGAAAGTAGGTATGGGGCCGGGGAGGGGGGTGAGAGATGGGAGAGATGCCAGAGTGAGAGGTGAATTGAAAAATGGAGGCGCTGACTGGGCGGCCGGCTAAACCCGTTTCGTGGATGTGTGTTTCGATATCTGTCACAAATTATCTGCTGATTCCACCCACTGATTATCGTTTAAACTGCCACAGCGCCTGTGTCTGCGTCTGCACTCCAGCTCGCTCACTCGATCGCTCCCTGTCCTGTCCTTCCTTCCGTTTTGGAACGAGTGCTTGCAGCCTTTTTCAGCTGGTCCAACCCTTCCCCATCTTTCTATCGACCGACCACACTCTCCCTTGAACTACCACCACCGCTACCACCGTCCAAGCCCGAGTGTAACCTCTGGCACCACGCAACGCCTGCATTGCACACTAACTGCCGTCAATCGCCATCCCTACGCTCCCTACTCCCTCTAGCTTCTATCATCGATTCTCCGATTCGCTATGGCATACACTCCTAAAGCGCGTGTGCAGAAGCCCGCACCACACTTCTCAGGCACGGCTGTCGTCGATGGTACATTTGAAGGTACGCTACCGTCTCACAACTCAAATCCTCTACACCCTCATCTCTCCCTCTGTCCCTCTCTCCCTCTCCCCCCTTTCTTCCTTTTTTCAGCTAGCTGGCCAGCCGCGCCATGCACTGTCCCAGTCCCGACCTCAACCACACCCGCTAACCCACCCGCGTTCTCGCAGAACTCAGTCTAACAGCCTACACCTCGACTAAACAATGGCTGGTTCTCGGTTTCATCCCCATGGCCTGGACCTTCGTGTGCCCCACCGAGATCATTGCATTCAGCGACCGCGCGGCTGACTTCGCATCACGGGGTGCATCAGTTGTGTTCGCAAGCACCGACAGCGAGTATAGTCTGCTCGCGTGGACGAACGCGAGTCGGAGGGATGGCGGACTGGGCAAGATTAATATTCCGCTGTTGAGTGATAAGAATCATAGTCTCAGCAAGGATTACGGGGTGTTGATTGAGGACGAGGGAATCGCGTTGAGGGGCCTGTTCTTGATTGACCCTAATGGCGTGATTAGACAGGTGAGTGTTAGAGATATGTGGGTGGTGTGAGGCACAGAGGCTTCCTGTGTGGAAACGTGTGTGGAGGATGCAGGCAGGAAGCTAGTGCCGTGCCTGGCTGAGATGACGCAGCTGACATCCATCCTTCACAGATCACCATCAACGATCTCCCCGTTGGCCGCAGTGTAGATGAGACGCTGCGTTTGCTTGACGCCTTCCAGTTCACCGACAAATACGGCGAGGTCAGACATCCCCATCCCTATCCTAAACCCTCCCCCTCCCCTTCTGAACCTCCATATATTAACGCTCATCTCCAGGTCTGTCCCGCAAACTGGAACCCCGGTGCCGAAACCATCAAAGCCACTCCCGAAGGCAACAAAGCCTATCTCTCCAAAATCCACCACGGTGTCGGCGATACCAAAATGGCCGACTCTTCCTCCAACGGTACGGTCCCTAAATCCGGACCCACCGCTATCAATGGACACTGAAACTAATCCTTCGCCTCTGTGCTATTTAGGGACTGCCTAATCTTTGCACTCATGAAACGCTCGAACTCTCTCAATGATATGCTATGATATGGATGTCTTTGGGGAGTGATAGTGTGGGTGAGTGGGGTTGGGTGGCTCTGATAGGGGAAAAAGGGGGGCGCGGGAGAGAGGAGGGTGAAAGGGGGTTGTATGCATTGGCATTTTCTGCTGTTTCATTGCATTGTCATGGCATCGGCGAGGGAGTTTATCTCACCTTTTTTTTTCTCGGATCCGGAAGATTGTTGTTCGTTCTGATTGGCCTGTCCGCTCGACCTACCCGAACCCCTACAAAGCAAAGCAACAACCAGAGTAGGTCGGGCGAGCACAGGTATTGGACTATCGAGGTACCGTGGCGCTAGTATACTGTTGCGGAGTTGCTCGGGCTTTCGGTTGATCGATTTCTTTTCGATCTCGTTCCCACTTGGGCTCTGAGCTTGAGAGCTTGCAGTGCGTTGCTTGCTTGCTTCCGCTCCATACCCTTGCTTTTTCTCATCTGTACTTTATCATTCTAAAACCTAAAAACTATAACTTAAACCCTGAATTAAGTTATGAGTGTAGCTCAGCTTGCTTTAGGTGCAGACATCGTGAGATTCATGGTTTGAGGCGCGAAAACAATATTATTCCAGCAGTATATCCATAATACTGATTTGAAGCTCTTTATTTCGGCCCAAATTTCATTTCGAAACTGCTTGCCGAGGTATTATACGCTATGAAAAACTAATGTTCAACGAGCATCACGAAGCAAAGCTAGCCTGGAGTCGCTCTTAAACAGCAATTGAATTTCAAAACGAAAGATATTGCCGACAAGATCAGCCGCTGCTTTCTGTTTAGCTTCCTCTATTCCAGCAGTTGAGACATCCAAGGAGTGTGAAGTCGCCTAGCTGGAGACGCCCAAGGTATATGCGAGTTCTTGCCAACCAGCATTGTAGGGTATTTTGAGCAGCAGGGTCGGGTTCTCCTGCTTAGTCAAGCAAGCCATGGAGATCTACATATATACCTCAACGAGAAAACTTCTTTAGTTGGGCTCCATGAACACTTCCTTGGTGTGTCGATAGGTAGCGGAAGCAAATGCGCGCGTCTACGGTCACGGGCAGTCCACTCCGACCTCTATCCTAAGATTAGACGGCGGCTGCCATCCTAAAGGTCCCTTGTATGATCCTACGGTTGACATCTAAATCTACTCCCATGTTCGACATCTCAGCCTTGGATCGTTATTTTACACCATCTTGAAGGGCTGTTGCCTTAGAGGTCGATTCCTGGACCACCAGACAGCATTGATGAAGAGCTCGCCTATGAGAAGAACTACCTCAACGTTTCCACCAGGGAGCATTTCCTAATATGACGAGGCTGATAGCAGGTGCTTTGATTATGGCATGTTAGACGAAGCATTTCGCATCAGCAGGGCAGGTTCTAGATGATCTAAATATAGAAATAGGCAAGAAAGCCTTGGCACCCAGAATGTCGGGCCCCGCAGAAATTCCAGCTTAGTACTAGCTCATGCTGATGTTCGATCGCATCCTTCCATTATTCTCTCTCTTTGTTGCTGCGTTCTGCACCAATAATGCAATTCTTTGATTCGGTGATTCCCTATCTTCATATATAATTGTTCCTCCTTGTACAGCTACCCTGGGCGCGGAAGGTCGCTCTGTTGTATGGTCATGACGGAGTCGTTGGTGATGATCAGAGCGAGGCCATCGGGCACAGGTTGGACGCTGTTCGCCAGTTCGCTCAGTTGCTCTTTTAAGATCTGAAAATTTCCAGTCCTACAACGGACTTGGGTTAGCTAAGGATCGGAGGTGTGCGTGTGGGACCTGGCATGGCGCTCCTCTAACAAACTTGTGCCTTCAAGATCGTGCATTGCTATCTTAGTAGCGGAAAAAACCTCCTCGCTGCAGTCAACGAGTCCGTCAAAATTGTCTGGGGCAAGGCCTATTGTGTATGATGTTTCTCAGGCTCTAAGAGTTCGTGGCCAGTTCCTTCTTGCAAGATATATGAGCCTATGAAGGTCTAATTAGAGGTTGATCTGCCTGGCGTTTAATTATAAAGGAGTGAGTACTCAGCGTTCTGATGGCATCAGTTGCCTTTATGTCTGACTTTGCCAGTGGAAGAAGTGACTGCGGAATATCCTTCGCATCAACGCACGACATGAAGGATAAATATTTGCTGCTAGCAGGTCACGGCTCTAAATCTGTTCGAACGAAAGGAGCTATGTAGTTAATTTGGATATTCTCATAGCATCCCTCGTCCTTATACCCTCTGCTAAGGAGATCAATTATATTCCGCTCTGTGCTGTTAAGAAGCGGCCCATATTTAGCTATGGTAGTTTCGTTTTCATTGATGTATGCAACTGCTTGGACAACTGCGAGGGGGAGATAGGTGAGCTCCTGGAGCAATTCCGTTTTGGCACCCCTGTTAGCTACTACTTTTGCCAACCAATATCACTTTTTGCCAGCCAGATTTGTCGCCGCCTTTCAACTCCGCGCCGTGAATAGAATAGACCTATGCTTGCTCTTAGGTAGGTAATCAATTCGATGGTCCGGGCTCGTTGTCCTCTCCGCTTTGTCTGTTCAGATATTAATGTCGACAGCGTTTCCGAACACCTGCAGCCATCTTCCAGAGGTTTCTTGGCTCATCCAGCGTTGAACGAGCTTCTGGATGTCTGCTTTGTCCTGCTTGGGGTTAGGGATCTGCAGCTGCTAGCCAACCTCCAGGTACGCTTCTAGCATGCTTTCGAGTATCCGGAATGCTAAGCATTCGAGCGGTCTTTCTCGTAGCTGGTGGGCGAATTCAAGCGTGATTTGCGTCTTCCTAACACCCTAAGGCCAACAATTACGACCCGCTCGCAGCGAATTTCAACTTGGGCGATTTCTGAAGCCTGACCAACGAACTGCAGTTTTCTCTGGAAAGGCACAAACCACACTGGTTCTGTTTGCAATGCTACTTGACGTTTAGCTTACGTGGTTTACAGACTAAGGTGGGCCATACTAGTGCGAAGCTCTATCATTCGTTGCACGTTGTACTCCTACGCAACATGCATTCGATTCTGGCGTAGAGTTATGTTGCTCTTATAGTAATTAAGTATGATATATCAGTCGCTACCATGCCTATCCAGCATCAGTTTAAGGTTTATTGCAGCTACGAAAAGTCCTGAATGTACACGCTCTGTTTCAGCCTCAAGTTCTGGATGCAGTCTCGTACCCGGAACTTTTGTGCCATGTGGGTGAGATACCCTTCCGAAGCCGCTTCAATAGCGCCCTTTTTCTTATATTCATGAAGCCCAATATTCTGAAGCCCCTGCTCAACATTGAAGCGGAAATACCGGTTTTCATCAAAATGTTTAGCCCACCTAGCGATAAACTTCTTCTCCGTTGCCTCCGTCTCCGTAGTAATCTGTACCACGGTCTGGCTAAGGAACTTAATCACACTGTCTTCGAATGGCTTCTTGCCTGGGTTTCCTGTCCCAATTGAGATAAAACATTTAACTAGAGGCTTTAAGTCTCCCGTTTCTGAGCACCAGATGCTCCCTGCTTCCCCTTCTACCTCGTCTACTGGATTATTTGCACCAAGCCCGCCATCAGCGAACGTGCGATTTCCAATGCTAACAGGATCAAAGAAGGTTGTGGCAGCGGATGTGGCGAGCGCGGCCTGGCAAATTGTCGCGCGAATACCCATCTCATCGGGGAGGCTATAGCTTCGAAGGCGGGCCATGTCCTTCGTATCACGATCAATAGCGCATACGAAACTTCTCTTGTCAAAACCTCTACTAATAGCATGGACAGAGCACTCACGTTCGACATCCCCGCTCAGTCCCATCATTGAACAAGTCTGTGACCGACGCGCCACTCTGAGTCACCACTTTTTTGATCGCAGTCTCTAGCTTTGCAGAATCGAATCGCGACTTGACTTTGCCCATGAAGTTGATGGGAATACGGCTCTGCTTCTCGCCGAAAACCGCCTCCGCGAGATCGCTATATGCAGTAATGCATTCATCGACGTCCATTTCGAGCCGGCCCAGCATGATCGCAATAAGCCTGTCATGGTAGCGCGTCAGTCACGCTCGCTGAAGAGCAGGTCCACCTACCCGCCGGTGCTAGTGCCTCCGATAAGATCAAACACCTCACATGGCTTCGCTGGAGGCAGGCCGGCTGTATTCCGTTCGTGGTTTAAGCGATCCATGACGCTTTTCAAGACGTAGAGCGTCGAGAGCCCGCGCACGCCGCCGCCATCGAGAGACAGCAGGCAGAGCCCTTGGCTGTCGAGAGGGTCTGGCCCGCCGCCGTGCTTGGTGGACGTGGCCTGCTCCATAGCCTACCTGTGATCGCCGTCGTTATTATTCTAGGAGGCTAGGGGGGTCAGGCACAACGAGCAGACAGTCGGTGTCAGTTTCACCAGCACCTGCCAGCCAGCTGAGGTCGGCCAGCCGACAGGCAAGGGCGAGAACTAGGCCGGTCGCTACGCCAAGGGTTCCCTCACATCTCATAGCCTATGTTTTAGCTCCCGCTCAAGAGCGGGGCTATTAGCTCACGCGAAGATCCTTGGCGCAGGGATTTCCAGAAGATTACTTTACAGAACGTGAATTTGCAGCAGGGAGAGAAGTATCAGATCAGCGAGATCAAGTCTCTCGAAGGATGCTGCAAATATTCATCAGGCTGGAACGACTAATACCATTCACAAGCACGGGATACTGTATCTTAGGACCAGCTTATGAGGCCTTGAAGTCAAGTGCAACTGCTTGCCAAGAACGTGTTTTGTCAACACGCGGCATCTTGCGATTTCCGGGTACGAGCGATTCAGCGTGCGTCATAGCGCAGAACCTTGCAGCCTTACAGTATGAACGAACCCGCAATATGATCTTGGTAGGTCCATGAAAACTTCTCACATAGCTGAAGTCGCTGGGTGCACCACCCACCTAATCAATAGCATACGCTCTAACCTTCGCTGCCTCGGCACTACCAGAGCGCTCTGGAACAGCAGCGGGTGCCTTCGCTCCGTCACCTCTCCGCGCTCCACGTCCCACGTGACCATTTAGTGAACTTTAATAAGAAAGTAGCCAGTCGTATTGTGGGACAAACTCAAGGTCCTCACGACAGCAGCAACCATTAGTAGGGCTTTGGCTATCTGTAGTTTTTCAAAGAAGGCAGCTCGTCGAGTCGCACAGCAGCAGAATCTAGATCTGAGGAACTTTTATCTCAATAGCCTGTTGTGGTTTTGATCGTACCTCTGCCCCGCACTATTCACTCCTTAGGACTAGTACACTTCGGAGTTGGCTCAGAGCTCTTTCAAGTTAGTTAGACCCCTTACTAGACGAGACAGTGCGCTCGTTCAATTCCCTTCGTTCTGCTCTCTTAATCCTATCAAAGAATTTTTGCTAAACTAAAGGCTGGATCTAGGAAGAATTATGAGAAGAAAGACACCCCGGTGCAAAGCTTTAAAATTTTTTAAGAGATTGAGATTTTTGCAAAGCGATTTAGATACTCTCGCTATTTTCGTCGCTCTTGCCACTATCGCTGCTGTCCAGTATTTGAAGCAGCTAACTGCACAGGAGGTGGGTAAAGTAGAGATATAGAAAAAAAAAATTAAAGAGTAAGTTCCAAGATCTCAATACACGACCGGGGGAATATCCAAGAGCATAACATCCCCATGGACAGCTGTTACCTAGATCTATACTCAGAAGATAGCCAAAGAATTGTATACCCAGGCTCCTCTATTGATATGGCAGGAGAAGGATTTAATTGGGGGAGAAAGTTTACAGAAGAGAGAGAATTACGCAATGCCCCCCTATCATAGGTACCGGTATGTTTAAGTGATGGAGGAGACGTAGCGGCCGGGGACATGAAAAGTAAATATGCCAAAGCTTCGAATGAGCCAAGGATCCCTCTCAGTGAGAGGCGGGCTGGGAGTTTGGTGATAGCGTATGTACACTACTAAAGGATTTTAATCGTCTTCTAACACATTAACTTTGAAGGAGAGTTCTGGGATACTTCCTCACCGGCTAGTATATTTAATATTTTGCAACTTGCATCTCCCCGCAAGGCTAAGCATACGCATCGCTTCCTAAAAAAAAGCCTTGGATCTTGGGTTCGCCGTACTTCTAGGCAAGTCTCTGAGCCAAGGACGTGGACAATACCGTGCACATTGCACGTTGGGAGCGAATTATATTTGGCTAAGAATACAAGGGTGCCGGAACGCTCTCTACCTGCATCGACACGACCACAGCAACGAGCTCAACACGGTACGAGTAGTTTTTCAGGCTGGCTCCAAATCTTGCACAGTCGCAGCATGAATAAATTTGCCATATGACCCAAAAGTCTCGGACTACTGCTTGGGTTGCTGAGATTGCTGGTGACAGCAACAGTTCGACTCTCGCAATCTGCCAAACTTTTAATGCTTTGAGACCACCAAGGCTCCCTATGACTGTGCCGGGTGGCCTCATGCCACGCTCCTGCCCATGCTACAAATCCCATGTGAACTCTTGCTTGAAACCCCAGAGCAATGTCAGGATGAGATGGCGGTCTTTCTATGGGACGAGTTCGGAGCCTTTGCGACACTTTTCTGTGTAAAACGGGCTCTAAACTTCGGTTGGCTATCCTAAAAAGCCGTCTCGCCAGTTTGCAAAGGAGTGAAATGCCCATATCTATCTCTACAATCTGCCATGATTTCAATCCTAACACCTCGTCTACGTAGATGAGTCCAGGTCCGATAAACGGATTAGATTCAAGAGAATGGGGTAGTCGTCACTTCGAATGGCTTTTGTTCAGACTACCCGGTTTCAGCGTGAGCAAAGGTATTGGATCTTGCTATCGTACGCCAAAGACAGAATTGCTCTCTCACGCGCATACAACTGCTTCGAGAAAAATCAGCGAGACATATCAGTAGGCTTAGAATGGTGAGTGAGTAGATCTCGAGGGCGGGTTTTTGGGAGTCTAATCACGCGGAAAGTCATGTCTCTAGCTCTGGAAGCTGCGTGACGCCCTTACTCATGGCACATATCCCGGACCTTTGAGACCAGATCTAGGAATACAATACAGTGATACCGAGTCTTGCCAAGGGTTGCGAATAGCGCGAGATATCGCGTACTAGACCCACATTTAAGATTTCTCGTCGAGCTAAGGATCTTGTTTGCAGTTGCGGGGCTCCACCACATGCTCGTATTCAGGAGCTGTTGTTGCCTGCTATAGCCATATGCTACTTACCCTACTGCCTAGCTCACTCCTTGCATATTAGACCCTTAGGTACACTTTTTTTTTTAGCAATTAATCCGGTTCCTCATGCCTCTGGTGCTTCCACGAGCTTCATAGATATACATGGTGGATCTATGCGAAAATTGCCCTCTAAGGTGGCGAAGATAGTGCATTCTACTAATAGGAATAGGGGCAGCATGCTCAAATTTAACACAGAAGGAATAAACGCCGCTTAGATTCTTCGCGATGGTAGACCGTGAATCTGCCCAAGAAGGAATTTCGAAAAACGTCAGACTCTATTCATTCTTGCTGCGTTTATTACTACTTTTTGAAGTTGACTATGTGGCAGGAACGCAGAAGCCATTTCGAAAGTCTCGATTTTGAATTCGGAGGAGGCTGAAATCCTTGCGTCTCCCTAGGAGAGACCCCGCTTAGCACTGTTTAATTGTAAACGATATCGTACTAAAACTAACAGCCACTCGTCTTCCCTGAAAGTTACAAGAGCTCTAAATGCGGCTCCAAATAATATGATTACATACATACGTTGCAAAATTCGTTCCATTACCCCAGAAACTACCATTTAGCAAACGCCTATAGATCCCGCATAGCATACCCATCCAACGCCAATTCAACCCCTTTTACACGCCCCGACCGTCCCCAGAACTCCCACCCCGACCCTTCTCTGACATCGAATTCCACTCCCTTACACTCCCAACCCGTCCACTCCCTTCCTTACTCCCACTCTGCCCATGCCGCTGGAAATCATGGTACTCCGCCAAGGGATCGAACTCCGAATGCACGCTTCCAAGTGTAGTATTATTACCTGGCTCTCGCCCGTGTCGCCTGATGAAAGTCTTCAGCCCCCTCATCGTAGCATGCGTGATAGAATCGTCCTGTATCCTCGGCCCACTATTCCGTTCGATATCCCCTGTGGCATGGAGCCATGAGGGATGTGTTGTCTTAGTCTTCGACTTTCTCGAAAGGCCTATTCGGAGCAGAAGACGGTCTAAAAAGCTACCCTCATTGCCGAGGCTCTTTTCACCGTCTGGGGTGCGGTTATTTGAACTGGAGCTATGGCTCGCAAAAATTCCCCGGAATGCGGTAATAGAGCCCATGCATATAGCAATGCAGCCCTCGAAGTGGAGCCAAAAGGTCCCCCAATTAGTATCTAGTTGGCGTTTCGCGGGTTGGATTCCTGCGATGCGGATGAGTGCCATGACGATCATGACAGTGGAGAGACAGAGGAAGACTGCAATGCCGGCTTTTTGGCTGCGCTTGAGTTGCGTCATATTAAGGATTGTTATGGGGATTGAGACGACTGCATAGGGATTAGTATTTTAGGGGATATATTCTTAAAGAGAGAGCGAGGTGAGATTAACATACTTAACAAGTCGGTAATAATATCCAGCGCGATGACAATCGAGGTAAGTGTCACATGACGTATATACTGCGTTTCCCCGGAACATTTAACTACCAAATATCAGTATATCATCCTCAAAAGCTTTCTCTAGATTCCATCCAGAACGACCAAGCATACATACCAGCAGCATCCATCCCAAAATGCGGACAATAAACAAACGGCTCCACAAACTCAAATCCCCACGTCACTGCCGTAACCCCCACAACCCCCCAAAAATACCAATTCAACCGCCTTGACACCCCTGTGATCAGCGTCTTAAAAAACACCAAAAACGAAAACTTGACCGCAAAAATCGCCGTCCATGTAAAATCGACAAAAATATACGTCCATTTTGTCGTACTAACCAGGGCAATCGTATCTGCGGGCGTGGCGGTTGCAGCAACGAGCGGATCGAAGGTGAAGGCTTCGAGGAGGAATAGGTCGTCGACGCAGTAATATAGGACGCCGGTGGCGACAGCGAGACAGCATGCGCCGAAGATGACGAGGATGTCGTCGAGGAAGATTGTGCGGCGGAGGTGGAGGCGGAGGAGGCAGCGGGAGAGGGTGAGGAGAGTTGCGAGGGCGAAGAAGACGCCTGCGACGACCGTGAAGGCGGGTTTGTGGATGCGGCCTGAGTGGTCGATGCGGTATTGACGTTCTGATGAGCTTAGGGCCGGTGCGTAAGGAACCATTATGCTCGGTACCACAGCCACCCTTAAGCTGTCACAGAGAGTAGTTAAGGGAGAATCAAACCCACGTCAACTTAGCAGCGACCACCTCCAACCTTATACGCCCCCCTCTCCCTCTCACCATCGCACAGATCGACAATCAAGATATGGCGAAGTGCAGCTTGTGGAACTAGCTTCTGGTTAATCTTCGATTAGAATCCTTCAAAATCCAACAACAAGTTCTGTCAGCCCCGGCAAGGCCCGTAAGCCACAGCCATCTTCATGCCCGTCGAATCCTCAGAACTACTTAACCGGGAAATTCGCACGTATGATTGGTGGATTCACATGGAACTCAGCGTTCGAGAAGGACTTAGAGAAATCAATTAAGTGGTTCTTGGGGCCTGGGGTCAAAAATCCATGGTTGAAGACGAAGAGCGTAAGCACAAACGCACGGTGATGTTGGGGGCTGGATTCGATCACTGTGGACAAATTAGATTAGAGCTTAGAGTTGTATGACAGGAATGCATTCTCGGCTTTTATGCTCACTTTTTAGAACTAGCAGTTCAGCTCGATTCAACCTTCGTCACTCCCAAATCCCTCTCTGGCACCAGCCCCATCATCGGCGTATACGAGCAAGCTAAAAACACAGCACCGAGAGCTCTTTGGTCTGCCTAACACTCTACCAGAAACCTGATGGACAAATCGTGATTCGAATCGTCGGACTCCGAGAATCTTACGCCAAGCCGTTCGCGCGACGATCCGCAACCAGGGTTACTCCCACGTGCCACACAAGGGTTCGGGCGGCGTGGACTGTTCAAGCTGGGGTTAGATGCACGGAGGAACACCAAAACCGTGATTCGACCCATACTGCCATATAGGGGTTCCTCTCCATACTATCTCGTTCTCTAGAGCGAGCTAAGTATGCAAATTACATTAATTTTTAATGCATAATGTTAGTTATTACCTAAAGGCTTTTTAAAAGCTTATCTCTTAACATAGTTAAAAGTTATAGAGTTTTTACAGCGCTAAGACAACACTAAAGGCAACAGAAAACAGAGGAACTAGGTAAAACCACCTAACACACTATCTAAGAAGCTGCCTTACTAGCTACTCTAGTTTAGTAGTGTAACAGGACACCTTTATGCTTACACTACTCTAAAAGTGTGTTGCTAAGGTGTTGCACTAAAAGCAAAAATAATCTAAAATTTTAGGTAAACTTATAAAAGACTTAATAATAAATTCTTAATAAACTTAATAACTAAATAATAACTATTACACTTTACTAGTAATTAATTAGAGAATCTTAAACAGCGTAGTGCCTACAGCTTCTAATAGACATAGTTATATGTACAGTCGCCTACCAAAAGTCATTAGCCACCTAGCAATCCGAGCTCTGCAGGGGTATAGTCAACCTATTAGGGAAGGAGGTTACTTAGTTAATTATTAACTAAATTTAAAGATTTTTATTTCTATATAAAGCTTATATACAGGCCTGTCTTTTAGTGCTGTGCTTAGTTAATAGTAAGTTAATCTGCCTTTGTTTTAGATAACTTCCTTTATGCGCTTTAACTAACTAAGGATACACTTCCTATAATTAGCTAGTGTAATTTTTGCTTACTTCTCTTTAAAGATATCTACTATCTGCTTATAAGTAGTAATATATTCTTGTTACTTTAAGATGCAGAGCTTTATAATCTGCTAGAGGTTCTTAATTAAGTTTAAATTAGAACTTTATAGAAGCTAATCTATTTATATTATGCTATGGTCATCTATATACTTTTAGGTAGCCTTTGCAGTGTGAATAGGTGCTCCATCCTGCATCTATATGCTAATACCGCGTTCCTCTGTAAGCTGCTAATAAAATAGGATACTAACATTATGTAGAATCTAGCAGTATTTGCTAGCATTATTACGCTTACCTTCTTTATTAATAAACAGCTCTAATTTAAAATTAAGAGAGATTACACTAAATACAGAGACTGTAGTCCTTCTAGACTTAAAGGTAGGCTTTAGGTACTAACTCTTATATGCTTTTCTATGCTGCTAATGTACATATAGAGGTGTAGTGTCTAATCTAACTTTAAATGTTGCTTTATTATAAAAGGCTACGCAAGCTATGTCTTTTGCCTTGTTATATTAATAAGTTTAAGCAAATTAGAGTTGCTTTTCTTTATATACAGCTAACAACTAAGGCTTGCAACGCAGGCAGAAGGCGTAGTACTTATGTTTTGCAAGGTATCTCCTTGCAGTACTAGTATAAATGCAGCAGTAGGTCTTTAACAGTGTTGCAATAGTTTAGAGCGTAGCAAAGAGATTATTTACTGCCTAGCAAATTAAATGCCTCTTAGCGCGTTTATTAAGCTTTAGAGGTTAGCCTGTACGCAGAGCTTTTATATAGGTAGGCAGGGGCTGCTTGCGCAGCCGGCGGATGTTGTATGTAACTGTTGACTTAGGAATGCTAAGATGACGTGAGATTTTGCTAGCGCTTACGCTGTAGAGGTGGAATTGCTATATTGTATTAACAGATAATTTAGATAGCTCTTTGCAAGAGGTTTTATTTGCTTTTATAACTATTAAAAAAGGTGGTAATTTAATTAAGTTACATTTAATTGAAATCTGACCATTGTGGGGTGGCCTAGACCTCTCGCTAAAGTGGCCAATGACTTTTGGTAGGCGACTGTACCTTAGTTAACTATGTTAACCTAAGCACTACAGACTTAGGCAAACTAGTAAGTATTAGTCTTAAGTAAACTTAAGTAAGACTTAATAAGACAGTAGAATATAAGCTTAGTTAGTAAGAAGCTAAGAAACTAAAAGCTGCGCAGTGTTAAGCTCTCTTAGGGCCTACTCCTATAAGACATAGTTAGCCTATTATCTCTAAGAGAGTTATAGGTAACGTGAAACAATCTACTAGGCGTAAAAGAGATTACAGGGCGTAGCATATAATAGCAGTAATAGACAGCTCTAAGGCACTTGCTCTAGCTATTGCGCGCACGCGCAGAGTGGACCTTTAGTAGACTTATACAACCTTACTGTTACGGTCTATGGTTGGACCAGCGTAACTCCACCGGCAATGCTCCACAGTTTAGCTGGATTGGAACAGGGCTTGCTTATGGACCAATCGGAGGACACGGAAGCAGCACAGCTGCCCGCAGTAGTGGAAGAATGCGTCATCTAATAGAAAGACGGGCCACAAGTAAAAGGAGCTTAAGGGAGCCCTAGGAGCTTCCCTTAGCAGACTCCTACAAACTCCCTCTGCTCCTCTTAGCGCCCTAGCACATGTATATAGTTCCTGCATTAAACAGCCTTTAGAAGGTGTGTGTTACAATCCTTACTCCTGTCAGATTGAAGCACTGTTTCTGGGCTTCCTGAGATGAATGATGGGTTTGGATATGATGTATGGGATGATTGATTGATTGTATTGATCGTCCTCATTTATCGATCCTTTTTCTGCTCTACTCGTGTTGCTCGGCTTTTTGTTTTGCCGATCCGAGTCCCTCGCGCACTTGCCCTATGCGCGACCAGCTTGCAAAATGCTGCAATTTTCTTATCTCAGCTAGCTCAGACGGCATGCCAAGAGGACACTAGTACACAAATAGTATAGATACTTTCAGACCCCTGCTGGGGCTTCTTCCTTCTTGGCTGCCGTCTGAGGGACTTTGGTGCAGCGCGACGTGTGCAAAGCTTCGTCCATCAACTTACTAGAAACTCCTATACAAGATACTATCGCACACAGCTTATCACAGCGCCTATAATTAGGATTAATTACTTAAAGGGTATATATAATCTACTCTAGACTATTTTTAAATAAATTCCTAACGTTCTAACTGTGAAAATTATAGGCTTAGCATTGCACACGTCCTAACGCGCAACTGTTCCCCTTAACCCTGTCCTCTACCAGTCCATCTACTCGCGTTTAACTATTAATAACAGCTGAGATTAACTAACCCACCTTAATTCAGCCTCTAGAATATACTGCGGATTAAAATGCCAGAAGGTAGAAAAGCCTCGAGACAATGTTATTGGGATGGAAGATATGATAGAGCCAGCGAGGTGGGTAGGTAGCAGGCGTTGGGTGGAAAGACAACAATAAACAACGTGTTTCTGCACGCAAAAGCCAGAATTTTCCCGTTAAAGTAGGATCAATTATGGGTATAGTACTAATAATAGTATAGAGAAAGTAAGAGAGTTGTAGCTACCTAGGGGGGGCTAAAAATTGTTAAGAAGTTGATTTTCTAGCTGTAGTTAAGAGGATTAGAAGCGTCGCGCTCACACGGGCGCACCAAAGTCTCTTAGACGGGAGGAGCTTTGAGAAAATTATAGCTTCTGATTGGTTTAGAAAAAACTTGGCAGACTGTGAGAAAACAGCTTTACTTTAAGGAGTATAGTGTGGCGCTAATCAAAGCCTCGACTGTCTGAGCTCGCTGAGATAACAATTTTCTGCAATTTGCTGCAAACTGCTGCAACATGCTGCAAAATGCTGCAAAATGCTGCAATTTGCAGCAACATACTGTTCGAGCTTATTGCTCGTACTATGTAGCAGCTTTCGTCAAGCGTTCCTCCTGTCTTGACAGTAGGTGCGCAAATCTGACAACTCTAGTGAAATGGTGTTTTCGGGAGTACGTCGGCCTATAGTGTTATTTAGCGGAAGGGAAGGACTTAGCTTGATCAAGTGTACAGTTCGTCAAGCAGAGTATGGGTTATGGAGGAAAGAGGGTAGGCAGGCTTGTGGTTTAACCCAGCGGCTGTATGGGGAGCTGGTAGACCTGATCTGTAGGGATAGGAATAGAGGTATATATAGTGTAAGATATACAAGTTAGCAGAGTTCTTTTTATAAAGGTTTTAATGCTTCTTAGTTTATTAAAAGGTAAAAGTAGATAATAAACTAAATAGTAATCACAACCTTCTAACTATAGTTGTGAACAAAATTATATACATAGGGTTTGCATGCGTTTGCATGCGCTGCAGGTGCTGCATGCATTGCCTGCAACAGCCTGCAATGCCTGCACTGCCTACAATGCTTAAGCCCTTATTAGACAGTGCACTCCGCCAGGCTTTTATCTAAAAGCTAGAGCCATTTCTTATCTGTCCTGTCACGTGATTTGCTTAGCGCAGGGCTAAGCGTCTTCCATCTGACGTTGTTTAGGCTGTGTGGGACAGCTAGTTAGGTTATTACAGTCTAACTATTAGCTATAACACGTAGGCTTCCCTCCTAGTTAGCGTTCTTACTATTATGTTCTTTTTATTATAAGTGTTAGATTTTTTTTTTAGCTAGTGTGTTTCCTTTTTTAAAGGCTAGTCTAATACTAATCTTTTTTAACTATGCCTTATTAGGTTTCTTGTACTTCTGCTGTTGCCTACTGCCTCTGTACTGTTACTTGTCTTCATTCTTTTTGTTATATAAAAATGTGTTCTTGTGGTCTCTGCTAGTCTTATAGTTCTTTCTACGTGATGTCCTTGTTATTAGACAAGTGTGTAG